GATGACCACCCCTTCCAGGGCCTCCTGGCCCTCCTGGCGGCCTCCAACCAACAAAGGATCTAGCACGCGGCGCCTCACCAATCAATGGCTGAGGAGGACCTTCAAAGGCATAGGCAGGAACCCATTCCCACTCTCCGTCCTGTAGTTCATCATGGTTGTCCCTGCCTGGAACAGGAGCGGTGTGTGCATCAGCACGATCCTTGCCTTGGTTGGGTACAATCTCCTTTGTAGGAACTCCAACACCACTTGCGTCAGCCGGATCTAGTGTCTCGGCCTGCTCTGATGCTGGACCTTGGGCAGAAGTCTCAATCTCCTTTGTTGGAACTCCAATTTCTGCGGCTTCCGGTAAATTCCCTGTGCTTGCTTTCGACTCGGGTACATTTTCCCCACGAAGGTGCTTCACCTGATCCTTGCTCTGGACTGGAACACATGCGAGTGCCAGGACAAGCACAATGGATGATAGCCTCATGATACCGGAAGCACTGAAAGGATGCCTTGAGCTGGTGTCGCTCCCATACACAGCAACTGCAACATCAACTCTGTTCTGCCTTGCACCGGTTGATGCGTTTCAAACACTGAAATGCCAAGGGTTGGTCGTTACTCAGGTATTCACCTCCCCTGAAAAGTCGAAAGAAACGTGTCCGGAACTCCGGAACTCACCAATTTGCCCTCCATCAGAGACTCATGTTGGAACTTCCCATGGTGGAATGTCGGCCTTGGAGTTCACCACCTGACCCTTGCGGGTGGTGCCGTTTTCGGTCACCGAACGGCCGGGACTCGGCCACCGAACGGCCAACCGCTGATCCGTGGTGCCTGGGAGATCAGCAGCGAGGGGGGGCACGAGAGCTGCAAGCGTCGCAGCAAGGCATGCTGTGCCACCTGCGGTGCGGGGGCCCGGGGAAGGCCCTAAATCAATCGCCCGAGGATGACTGAAGATGAGAAACGCAAGAGAACGGCAAAATACACACACCCACTGGGTTTTGCTGTTCGGAACTGATGTCCCTTTCAAGCCTAGACCCATGGGCCTTCAAATGCATCGAGTCTGCTTTGTGATTCAAAAAATGTTTAACCTAAAAAGGTGACTTTTTTTGGTCAATCTCTGTTCATGAGGTTTTCAGTCATTGTTCATGAGGTTTTCAGTCATCGTGCTTCGTACTTTCTATTTAACCGTGGAGATCAAATTCACGCACAATTACCTCTGCAAGCTCCACCAATCGTGGATGATGATGATGATGATGATGATGGTGATGACACACGTTGATCTTACTGATATGGACCTGACATGGCTTGACTGACCTGACATGACTTGACTGTTGCCCGCAATAGTGGATGAGATCCCAACAGTCATTGTCATCAGACCCCTACTAATCATCATCATTTGCTGGACCACCATGGACATCCTTGCACATCCATAAATTTATGCTCATGTTCTGCATGCATGTTCACCACCAAACCAGTTGTCAACTCCAGACTCTTGCACTTCCAATCTATAGTTTGTCAATATCCTTCCAACATGAAAGGGATTGAAAGGGCGTGGCATGGTGTGGCACCCCAGCTCTGTAGTCTTGTTTCAGACTTGCTAGTACCATGCTTGTTTGATATCCACCACCTCCTGGCCTTCCCAGCGCAGGCCTCAGCAGACGGTGAGGAGGCAAAATGCTAGCAAACAGTTCAAATTGGGCGAAAGAAGTCGGGCCGAATACTATCGAGCTAATAAGATAAAGACAAGACATGACAAGACTGAATAGTCTGCCATTTAGTCTACCTAATTTCCCTACTGAAAAGCATAGAGGAAAATAGTACTGAGCCTGTATAGTCATTTTTGTAGCGGATGATAGAAACAAAACTACAGACACGGACTTGTCCATGTCTTGCGCTGAATCCAAGAAATGAAAGAACCCCAAAACCCAAATCGGTCGGACATCCCCTTGATTTGATGTCAAGCAAGTGATTGAGGGGGGTTCTCATTCTGACACATGTTCGCTTGAAGGCCCCCAGTTGCGGTCCCTTCGGAACGACCGAGGAAGAAACCGAGGCGCCAGAAAAGCCTCCACTCCATTGGAGACCCAGACCTGAGTCGGCAGATGTCGGTGCGCCGTCGGCAAACACACTTTGTGGTGGGATTCCGACTTTTGCAAAGCTGCAACCGACTTTTGCAACAGGTGCAACAGGGGGGAAGTCCTTTGTCGAGAAACATGCATCCGTTGATGATTGGAGCTCTCAAGAGAGGACCACTTCTTGACAATGTCAAGATCTGCTTCAGCAATGACCCGTCCAACTACGCGACAAGATCTTGAAGAAAGTGTCCAATGATAAATCAACTGCTCCACTTCTTTAAAACACACTGAAACAGTCCCCACTCTAAGGATCCAGTCTTGTGGTCACTCATGTGCCGTTCATGGGAACATCCACACACGTTGGCTTCGGGTGCCCGAAAGATTGCCCGCCTTGCCACCCAACCTCCAAGCACGTCCATGCGCTTTCTTGTCGTTCAAAAACATTAAAAAAACAGTGTCGGTGGAGTCAGTCAATAGTCAAGCAACGCCTCTGGAGCTGGCATCTTGTAGGAGCGCCACCAAACGACGTTGGAGATGGGCTGGAGCCTTTTGAAGGTGTGGGCACCGCTGGCGAAAGAAGAAGGCGTGGGCAATAGCAAAAAGGTGGCAGTGATAAGTAGCAAGGGTCTGGGTCCAGGTCACCATCTCAGGCTCGAGCTACCTTCCTAGTGCAAGTGATAGTTATAGGTTGTCAATACCAACTGGTAGATCGCTATCTCCATGTAGGAATTGAGTTAGCTCATGCTCAGGGTGTTCAACAGGCTATGACCAGCAAAGAGGGCCATGAGGGTCTTGGCCCCGTGCCAGCACCTTATGCACCCTACACTTCGTTGAGTGTCTTGCACCAGAAACGCACAGGCATCGGCTCAACACAAATCTCCTCTACCATAGGTGGTTCTCTCAAGCCACAGCAAGAATCTGTTCACAACAACAAGAAAAGTCCAAAACTGAGGTGTGCAAACAACTTCCCCCCTCTGAGCCCCCAACAGCGTCGCTCACACAATTAATCAGCACCTTCCACCTCGAGTTGAAAGCAACTGTTGCCTTTAAACGCGATTTGGCATTCTCCAAGCAAAAGATCCTTTTTGACGTTTCTCACCGGATCTGAAGACTGATCATGATTGCTCATGACAAAGACTCTGAGCCATGCGCGAAGCTCCAGCGAAGCTCCATCTTGAGTCCTCTTCAGAGTCCTCGTTTCAATGAAAGCGGTGCGACTTCACTTCTGCTACGCTACACTGCGGCCTAGCACAACGGCGACGACAGCGACAACAACGATGATGGCGCCGGCAGCGGCGACGGCGACGGTGGCAACAACAGCAATCCGCAAGCGTAAAGAAAAAAGATCTGGTGCTTTTGCCGAGAACATTGCCTCTTAGAAGCGGTATGGACAGGATGACATGAAGGAAGCATTCCCTTCAGAATACCGGCAGTCGCGTTTAGTGTATCAAATGACCGTCAAATGGTGTATATATATAGAGAGAGAGAGTCCAATGCCTTCAACACAATCAAGAGTTGGGACATCAAACATCAAGTAAAAAACAACGTGACATAATCCATCACACACTTCTATGACAAGGGATTCCCATCTTCGATCCCGAATGGCACGGAAGTTGTACACAAGGTTCCTTTTGCTGTTAAGGTAGAACCATTCCGCGAATGTTTTCTCCTGATTGAATTGGCTAGACAACACGAGACACCAGCGCCACGACTGGCCACGATGGCGAATTTGAACAAGTACAAAAGATTAAAAAACAAATATATATATATATATAGATAGATAAATATGACTGGATTCTTCAAGATTCACAATCCAATGACCGTCTGACAATCCATGCATTTCTTCAACCACCCTGCATAGATGTTCAATCATAGAGCCGACCCTGCACTTGCGATCTCAATCTCCAAGCATCAATGTCTATGCATAGCACTTGAGTGGATTCTTCCTGCATGGCCAAAGCCAGCCTGTCGCCGACAACGACGATTCCACGAAAGACCCACGACGAAAGGCCCCACGTCGCTCGTCGCTAGGTGTATCACATCTGAAAACAATGGGAGGGGGTGGGGTCCATTCCATTTAATGTAGACTGTTGATTAATAACCCCCCCCATGGGGAGTTAAACATAATTTAACATAATCAAGAGTCTACATCAACAGAACCCCGTGACTTTTCTTAAAGGAATCTGTTGGATGAATGTCCTCCCGTCCAAGCTGCCAAGTCCGACTTTCTTTCAGGCCATGGCGGCCATCCCTTTTGCCCATGAAGGCGGATCCTGAAGGGGTCTGGCGGATGAATTTCTGACCAATATGAACCGTCTCCGTAAAAAGCACTTGACTTTGTGTGCAGCCTGATTCTTTGTTTTGTACTGCTTGTTTCTGAAGGGAACATAAACAAACATATCCACCGACCAGAGAAATCTTGCCCATACCGAAAGCATGTGATAAAACCTTGACCTTACAGGCTGTTGCCACACCCACAAATGTGTTTTTCAACACAAGAACCATGTGACCTCCAGCAAGCCATCACATGCCAACCTCCACATGGCCTTAAGTCCACCAGCCAGCGGCCGCGCAGATGCTTTTTCAAGGACAACCTCCAGTGACCGGATCTTCAACGCCGACGACCGATGACCCAACCTGTATGGCTTAAAAGTCATCTCCAAGTTGTCGAGTCGTCTCACAAGATCTCCCAAGATCTACCAAGTAAAGCAAGATCAGATTGGAAAAAAAGAAGCAAATGTTTTTGGAATGTTCTGGAGTTCTCCACTCATCCGAAGACGGACCCAAGTTACGGTGCTTTCGGCCCCTTCGTTCCGACACCGCCGAGACCGCCCGCGCTCGGAAACCGGTGCGTTCTGCCGCTTGGGAGCAGGGCGATGCGAGCCTCCGGCATCGCTCCTATGGCGATGGGCACGGAGCACGCGCGACCGCTGAAACCACTTGCAGCGGTTTTTGACTGCGGTACCGAACGCAACTGCCGAACCTGGACTGGTTCTTTGGGTGCTCAAAACACGCAAAGAACGGCCAAGCACAACCCTCCTTTGACGGATGACATCTGAAGGTCCTTGAAGGTGTTCGGCCAGCCAAGCTCTCCTTGGGTGACAGGATGAGGCAGTGCTCTGCAGTGTTCCTTTACGTTTAGAAGTGCAAAAAAGGAGATTGAATGTCCAGTGTTCGGTTGCTCAAGTACAGTCTGTTACCCGTGCGCATACTAATCTTGTGTTTGTGCAACCAAGGCTAAATCCAGCCCCACAACATCCGATTCAGCCCCACAACACCCGATTCCTCTACAGAACTGACACGTCAACGGCCAAGGCGGCCAAGGATCAAGTCGACATATCCTCCGAGCAGGGAATCATCCAAGAGACATCTCGGAAACAAGCCGGGTGTCTTCCAGTGTTGACTATGGGCGCTTGTGATTGTCTGCTTATCCTGCTACATATCTACCGGTCACTGTAACTCCTCATTTCACATAGATGAATTAGCACGACAGTAATGATTTCGTCCCTGTGTTGCCTTTTCATTCCATGAAGGTGATCCGCTATCTCCTACTTCAGCAAGCTCTGTCTTTCAGCAGTCTGTTTGCAAGTCCTCTAGCATGTTTCACATACGTAGTACATAAAACTATTAAACTATTGCTATTAGAGTTGTTCGGAAGAAACACTCATCTTCCCCCTACAAAGCTGGTCAATTTGAGGCTCTCAGTTGATTATGATCTTTCTGCTTATCAATCTGTTTTGCAGGTGTAAAGATGGAGGCCTTGCAAAACAGACACTGAGACTGACCAAAGATCTTGCGATCAGCACCGAGACACAAAGGGCTGCTCCGTTGCGCTCCGTAGCCCGTCTCCGCTGCCCAGCGGTGAAACTCAGCCATCTCTGAGAACTCCTGGACCTGAGAACTCTGCACACTTCAGTGATAAGCTGCTGTGTGTTGATGTTTGTACATGTTTTGGATGAGGAGGAGACAAACTAAGTTTATCTGGCACTTTGAAGCAGTTCTGTCGGTGAAACGCCTTCTTTTTGAACTAATGTCCGGTCAGGCTGAAAAACCTGGTAACCTGAACAAATAGGTGCTGGCTCGATTGTACCGAGCAAGGCGGAACAAAGAAAGTCACCCAAAAAAAGCCTGCACAAGAGCTGCCAGGCAAAAAAATTATCTCGTCTTCACTCTTTGTTTTTCTCCCTGAGTTTTGTAGAGTTTTGTTAATGATGTTCAACGTCATCACTCAAATAAACTGCCGAATTCACTCTCGCAAAGACTCAATAATTCAATCAACCCTCATCACATCACGATCTCATGTGGCAGAGATCAACACTCAAGATCCCATCTGGCAGGGATCGCAAGAAGCAACATCAATGGTGGACATGAGGCGAGAGCAAAGAAGGGGATTCAAACAAAATATCAAGTCTCGAGAGAAGGCTTCCTTCAAAAAACCATCAACACAAAGCTCGTGGTGGATGTCTTGAGGTTTCAGTTTCATTGAGAGATATCAAGAACATCTGACTCCAGCGCGCCAAGACTGGTTGAAGCCAACAAACCTGATCTTTGGAGAATGCAGTTGTGAAATGAACGACGAGCGGCAAAGTCATGATAAGAATGCAGGGGTGGTGTGTCAACCTACTTGCCTATACTTGCCGAATCAATAGAGTCTACCGCATTGGGTACGAGTTAAAGTACCGCTGTAGATTTGACTGTATCCACTTGCATCCCAGAAGCCTCCAAACTCGGCAACTCCTCGGCAACTGTCTGGTCCCAACGCCGGGGCGTTAAGAAAATATATGGGATCTGCTCAAAAGTGTTCCTCTGTTTGCCTTTTTGGGTCCTCTTTGGGCGCAGTGTCCTGATTGAAGGGGGACGAAACCAGCTTTCAGCCTGCTATGAGTCAAGAAGGATAAATATGTTTTTCTACCCCCTACACCCACGAGGGGCACGAGGGGCGCTTGGGGTCCTTCGCCAACCCAACATCACCTGCAGCACCACCGACCAGGCAATTCCAGCTAAGCATCAGAGTGCACTTCAGTTGAGCGCCAACACTTGATAGCAGCTGTATAGTATGGACATGACTTCACACCTCGCCCCAGGGAGAACTCATGAGAGCACTTGGAACGCGTGGACCAACCAACAGCCAGGTGAGGACCTCGCCAACCACCGGTTTGACTCTCAGCCTGAATTCAATCTACAGAAGTAAGCATTTCGTGTGTATCGAGCGTCCCGCCTCCATCTTACCATTCATCTCTGTGGATTTGCTCTAACGTTGAAGAATGGACACCCCTCAAATCAGGCCTAGAAAAGCCCCCAACAGTTAAAATAGCGCATGAATCCGCCAAGTGGGCAATGGCACCATCGCTGTGTCTTTGCCAACAATGCTGCCTTGAAGAGCGTGAAGTGCTGTTGGTTTAGTCACTAGCTATCTTCAATCACCACCTGGAGCTTCTCACTGCATCACTGATGGACCCCTCCAGAGCCTGAAATCAGCAGCCGACGTGGCGCCGGCATGGCGCAGTGGCCATGGCACGGTGGATGAAACCCAGCAGGCTGTTTTCAGGCTACAGAAGCCTTGCAACCGGAGAGGCTTTGGAATTACTTGGAGATGTTCAGGACCACAAACGGGCTTAAATGCATCTGCATTAATCCTGTATGATTGGTTTCTCATGGTGTTTCCATACTTTTGGAGGGACATTTTTCATGTTTTTTCAGGATGGGTTGATTCGTTGATCCATCGCAGTGGCGCACGGGTTGGTGAGCTGTGCAGTTGCATCCCGAAGTCTCAACAAGCTGCAAGCTTGGCAGGCATAGATTGAAAAGCAACATGGAATCCATCCAGCAGCTGACACGTGTGACATGTGCTCATTTTGCATGTGATGCACCGAACAAAGCCTCTCTGCTATCTGTCGAAAAAGAAATACACAAACACTCAATCGAGTTCTCGAAAGCTGAAAGAGCTTCTTTCCAAAAGCTCCGAAAATCCGGAGAAATGCTCCGTGCACGTATCCAGCCTCATTCAGGTTCTTGAAGAGGAAAATATCGGACAAGACTCGTTTAATCTCGGCGCAGCGCATGACCTGACACTCTTGACAATCTTCTCCCTTGAGATCCTGGGACATCACTGTTGTAAAACACAGTGTAAGTTCTTGTCCCAGAGTACACTTGCAACCTCCGACCCTTTTCGCCGCTGTCAATCAAATGAACATGAAGAAATACTTTCTTCTTGCATCGTCTTGTTTCTTGACTCATGGCTTCACTGCTCCAAACGAAAACAGAGAGGATCAGGCAGGCTGCTTCCCATGGGATGGTTGGTTGCTACTCTTGCGGACCTTTGGGGGCCTCCAAATGTATTCTACCAAACTCTACCAGCAGGAAGAGGACACCGGTGATTTAGAGATGTCTTCCATCTCTGAAACACTTGAAGACGGAATCAAGAACCGATTTCTCGTGTAAGGCACACTCACTGATACGGAACATGACTTCACTACAGTACTGTTGCAACCTACAGCCAATCTCGTAGTAGAGTGTCTGAGAAGCATGTTGTCTCAGGGCTTTGTCCCCTTTTGGAGCCACAGCCCATCAGAAAAGCACTGCAACAACCTTCTCATCCAAGGAGTTGCAGCAGACCTCCATCAAGGAGTCGCCCAAGAGCTCCTGTACATTGCTGTGAAGGATGCGATGTAGTCGCACCTCAGTGCAGTCATCACGCAGAAGACAAAGGCAATCAGTGGATGAGATTGGTAGGATTCGGTAGGATTGCATTCTCGTCTTCCTGCTGAACGTGTTGGCTCCGGCTAGTTTGGTACGTAGCGACCTCGAGCCTGCCTCTGTCAAATGCTGGCTGATGAAGGGAGCTTCAACAGGCTGTTGAGCCAAGGAAGTGCATCATTTTTGGATTGTCGCACACTCATCACTTGCTTTTCTCTGATGGTTACAGTTACAATCGACTTAGGTGGCCTCAAGATACCAGGCAACCCGGCCCTTCCCATCGCAATGCCGTATGTCGACATGTTGACGCCTTCTAAAAACTCCTTCATCTTGGCGTGGGATATCAAAGGTAAACGTGTCAGGGTGAAGGGTCATGATGCATGGCTGCAGGAGAATCTATGAACGCAAAACCTTGGTGAGTACTGAATTGGCTTGTCAAGGACTGTAGATGGATCGTCCCCAATAGTTATGTTGATCAATCTTGACCCATCCCATTCTCGTTTGCATCGGTCCGGCTGCTTGCCATAGCAGTGTCCAGCTTCTATCACCTGCTCGACAAGAACTTGGCTCCGCGATCCACGACACAACGGTGTTTGACGGGGTGGATCTCCAAACGTTGTTCACCAAGGAGAGAGAGGGAGAGGGAAAGAAAGAGAGAGAGAGAGAGAGCGCCGCCACACCGAATTTCCGCATGATTGAGGACAAGCGTTGTTCAAACGTCTCATCTCTTCTTTTGATTCCGAAAAAGAAAAGAGACTTGCATCGAAGTCTCTGTCAACCGGCGATTTCGAACCATGTGCAGTTATTTTAGAAGTAACATCTGGGGTGAAGACCTGGAAAGCCCAGAATAGTCAGCTTCATCTCTCATGGCCCACGGATCCCCCCATGGCCCATGGCGGTTTAGGTACTTTGCTTGGACATATTTGGATCCCCCATAGGGACGCCGCAACAATTCCAAATCCCGAGCTGTGCCCAAGCTCGGCACAGCGAGCCGCTGTGCCGCATTGTGCCGCCGTGCCTTGTCGGTGCACTGTTTGAGGTCCACACTCTCATCCACCCAAACCTGAATTTCAAGCGCTGACGCATGGAATCGGTGGGAGCTTTGGACGTGCTCTGTGTTTCTTCTCGCATTCGCAGAGATGGAATCCATGATACACGGGCAAAAACAATGAAAACATGATGAAAATTGCAGCCTATGGATCGCCGACCTTGGCGGTTGCTACACTCCTGGCTCGGCTTTGCCTTGACCCCCTTGGGCTCAGACAGAGTCACCATCTTCTCGGGTCTTGATCTCGTGCTTGGTGACCGCCATCTGGCCGCTTCACAGATCGATGCAGCAGGTCCTTGAGTACCCAGGGCCTTGAGGAAGACCTGAGGGCCCAAGCTCACAGAAATGTAACAAATTAGCTGCTGCTTCATCCAAATGTCGCAGAGTTTAACCACCTCTTTAACCATCCACTCGACCATCTGGACATCCTTACACAATGAAAGTCTTCCGAATGCTAACCATTGCAGTCGGATCATTAGGGAATGAGCCAACCCACCGACAGACCGACCGTCCAACGAAACCGACCGACCAACCGACCAAAATACCAAAACCCAAACCCGCCATCCTCATAATATCATGGCCGCAGGATTAGAGAAAACATGAGAAAACAACCCTAAGAGTCTTTCTAGGACTGCAACCACCCCTTGAGCACCCCAAGAGCCCCGCAACAGGGGCCGTGCGTCTCCCAGCTGACCTGCCCCCAGATGACGACGATGAGCTGAGCCCCGTCGTCCGGTGCGAAGATCACCTCGCCCGGCTCGAAGACTCCATCCTGGCTCGAAGACTCCACGGAGCCGCTGAGTCGGCTAGGACGCTCCGTTCGGTGTTAGTTCGGTGTTAGTTCGGTGTTTCGATTCTTGGCCCTGGCACGCTGCAAGTGAGAACTGCCGGTCTGCTCTCTGGTGCCTGCCTGGTACAGGACTGTTTGGGTTTGTCAAAGAGTTCTTTTGGTTGAAGCTTTGTCCTGCTTTGATTGACATTTGATTTGAGGGCGAAGAAATCATGCACCCCATCATGGATATCAGCTAAAGCCAGGTGGTTTCTGATGGTGTTAATTCTGTCACGCAAATCTCAATCTGATGGAGCTTGTTCAAGTCTCTTCGTCTTAATCCTGGCACGTCTGGGTTTGTGGTATCCCACAAAAGGTTGGTCTTTCGCAAGGATATCTTCACCTGTCATGATCTGTCATGGCTCATTTTCAGTACGTCATGGCTCGTGAGGTCTTCTTCTTCGATCAGCTTCCCCCGGACCAGCTGGACACTTACCGATGCGACCCCTGCCCACCTCTGTTCGCGAGATGAGCATGTTCCTCATTTGCGATGCATCCCCAAACAGGTTGAGGAAGGCAATGGGCTTCTCTGAAGCCAAACATGTTTGTTAGACTTCCCCAAACGGCAAAAGAATGCAACCGTGTTTCTCATCATCTAATAGCGCGGCTGATCCACCTCCAAAACTTCTCATCGTTCTTTTTTGCAATCAGGTCCCCGAAAAAGTAGACCAAAAATACCAAAACATGTTGTCAAATTCGCGGCTGTGCATCATAAAGAATCTCGGGCAAACTACACAGTATTCATCCATGATGGGACTTACTGAGACTTACTGCTTAGAGGGCGAAAAGGTAGCGAATTTGAGATCCTGTTTAACAGTTTGGAAACCAGCTGACTAGCACCAGATTCATCTTCCTCGAAAGAGCCCGCAGGGATCACCACGGATAACAGCAACGTACAGCAACTACAAAAGCACCGGACCAGCTGCGACGCTCCGGGCCCTTGCCCTTTCAGGGCCCCGAGCACTTGCTGCTCTGACAGAATCCTCCATGGCTCCGGATCCAACGGATTCCGTGGAAGCCCATGCAGAATCGCCTCCGGCGTCCAAGAGGCGTCAGGTCCGATATTCCATCATGGACCCAAGTTATCTAAGTCCTCAACCGATATTCCAACATTGACACTCCTTTAAAGCCTTCAAGCAACATACTTATCAGCATTGACACTCCTAAAAGAAACTGCAAACAGATTCAACACCACCTTGTATGCAAAACATGTTGCTCTGGCAAAAGTAGCTGGTAGCTTTTGCTTGCAGCTAATTAATGCACCACCTGCATCTTTGCAGGCAGGGGAGGCCCCCAAAGTTGGTAGCTCCGTTGCACCATTTAATGTTGTTATGATTCGATGTCAAAAACTCAAGTAGAAGGCTCCTACAAAAGTGTCTGCACGGCGGACATTGAAGTGAATTTATGACCGAAACTGCAGTTTCTTGCTCGCAAATAGATACCATTCCAAACCGATCAATTGAAAGCTGAAAGTAGCTTCAAGAAAGAATAAAAACACATACACACAATCACACAATCACACACACACAAAAAAACAAAAACACGTCCAATCTCCAATCCTTCAATCCTCCAATCCTCCTATCCTCCGTTCCATTTCTCCGCCGCTGCCGAGCAGCGCGCTTTTGATCAAAAGCGCCTTGAAGGCCGCCCGGCGGAGCACGTCGATGACCGAGGCGCTGAAGTTGCTGAGGGAGGCCTCGAAAAGGTCAGGTCTATCGGTCTAACGGTCCAACCAGAGAAACCGACCAATTCAGTTGTTGAGTCCCAGAGTCTATCCATGACATGCCATGACTACATGCCACGACATGCGATGAAGGCATCCTCCGTCTTTTTTAAGGATCTGCCTGAGGTTGAGAGTCGATCGGTATCTACGGTCGTTTGGCACAAACGGTCATGGGGTTGGCACCTTTCCAAGTGCTTCGTCTGGGGTAACCCTTCTCCGAGCGAAACGATGCTTCTTGCTGAAACCTGGAATATGAAAGCCCCCCCTGAGCGAAGGATGCCTCATTTTCCGACTTGCTGATGCTTGAGATTGGCCCTTTTAGATCCTTTTATATAGGATCTTTTAGGTACTTATGATAGTTCGTTTGATTTGTTTGAATCATAATATGACCAGTTATATATACTTCCCGAAAATGCCCCCTGCTGAACAACTGCCCAGCCAGGACTCCATGTCGCCGAGCCGCTTTGTTCAAGCAAAGACACTCCACCGGCCCCTTGGCAAACGCACCTCCGACCTGCTGGCAAGGCCCAGACACCCTGTGCAAGTGTGTATTAGCATATATCCGAGGCATATCCTTTGCACCGTGACAAAGTGTCTCGGATTCTTTGAAACCCATCATGTTGCCATGTCATGTATCGTTCGTTGGTCATGCCGCAGGTGGCTGATTCCACCTTGTACCCCGAATTCTGGCACACACAATCACTGCTGTCCAAGCAATCCCTAAATAAAGGGAGGAAGACCCTTCACGCATCACGCAAAAAATGGTCGACTTGTCATAAAACGACGACAGTGATGCCAACAAAGGCCCCCATCAAGCATCATTTGTCCGATTTCTTCAAGAACCGCACAAAGCTTATTCACTCCTGCGATTCAACGAAAATGTGCTCCGCTTTCATGCACCCTGCACCACAACGGCCTGCTTTTTGTTGTAAATCACGCCCACGCTGCCAATCACAGAGCCAGGCTTCCCATAGGGACCCCTGGGGCCAGGCTTCCCATAGGCTTCAAGGGAGGGACCCTGCGGTTTCCTGTTGGTTCTTAGACTTCCTCCCAGTCCGTCAATTGCAGGATCAAATTCATCTCCTGCTCATGTCATTCACATGCGAAGGGTGATGAAGGCAACAAAAGGCATTGTTTGTCACCAACAAACATGCAGCAGCAACAAGAACAACAGCTCCTAGTGACCTAGTGTCACGTGAAAACCCGTGTCGGTCCAGAAAGGTAATATTTTGACACACAACATTAATATATAGATTGCTACTGGGAACACCAGCCAAGTCGAAGCTGACAGCCGCGCCTGTCAAAACCATCTGCTTTTTCGTCTCCAATGCCCACCTGTGTCAGGCGAGAAAGTCCGGACAGACGCAGCAGGATGAGGATCCAAAGGTTGTTCCCACGGAAGCCTTTCTCTTTGTTACTCTTGATGAAGGCAACCGTAGCGTCACATGTGGTACCCTCAACATCCATAGGTGTTTCATGGTGTTTTGGTTGTGGGGAATTCCAGCTTGCTAAACCTGATGTGATATGCATGTCTGCAACCACTCATCTGAAGTGCTCGTCTCAAGTTCCCACGGGCAATTTGCAAGCCGAATGGTCACAGCCCGCCTGGCCGCTGATGACGATAAACCTGGGCCACAAATGGTGACCTACTGGTGGCCAGAATTCGGGACATCGCGAGGATACACACTGTGGCTTGAACATGGCTGTGGATTTGAAGATCACATGTCCCACATGTCCCAGCCAATTGGCTTCTTCAGTCAGGTTTGGCTGCCATCCGTCGGTATGGCGTTGCGAATTTGACTCCAATGTCCAATTCTTCTCGGAAGCTGGGATCCCCTCTTCAGGCAACCAATTTCTTAGCTCCCCACATACCGTCGCCGATCTCCTCTTCGTGCATGACAATGGAACCATCCTGGTGCCACGGCATCTGTGACGTTTGAATGATTGAATGTTTGAATGCTTGTGCGAGTGTTTGGAAATGAATCGAGGAGAGAGTTCCAGGACCATACACAGGTTGGGGACCCTGCCGGCCCTGAAGCTGTAGCAACTCCAGAAAATCAACACCCAACACTTCTCTGGCTGTTGGGTGGCACAATTGATCTCAAGCTTCCTGGGTCTCCCCCCTCGCCAAACATCAAACGGTTTAAAAACATACACAAACAACTCTTGAGATTTCTCTGCACCGCACCGGAACTTGGGTCAATCTCCGGAGCACAACTCCTCGCGCCGGAAGAATTCCTTCGCACCACCCAAACACGCCCAGCAACGCGCGCGTTGCCTGGAAGGTCTTTGAAGTGCAGACCGCTGCCAAGGATTTCTGGTCATCCTCCGTCCGGAACCAAGTGCAATGGTTCGCCAATGATGGAGCATGATTGAAACGTGTTGGTACAAGCCAACAACACTACGGCCTATCATTCCCTCCTCCAGGGCTAACGGAATGTACAACAGCGTCCATGCCCTTCAAGCAAACGTCTCGTCAGCCAGCCATAGAAGTTTGGACTATTCTGGAGCTTGCGTCGCTTGCGTCGCTTGCGTCGCTTGCGTCGCTTGCGTCGCTTGCGTCGCTTGC